AATGGGCTTTGGGTCTCCACTCCGCACTCCCCCCATCATTCACTATGGTAAGATTTTTCATTCTGATTATGCCTTATAACCGATCCCTTTGACACCTTGTGGTTGCATAGGCTGGTATGCTTCCTCCATGTGGGCTTTGTTGCTTCTGAGCTTGATGACCCTTAAGCTTTTAAAACCCAGGCACTGTACAATGAATTAGGAGATATTACAGAAACATTAGAAATAGTATTAGGGCAATTGACTGAAATGCTGCATAAAACAATTAGACAATGTTTTGCTGCTGTTTATATGGCATTTCATGGTTATTATTTCAAAAGTGGTCTGCCTGTTCCATTTCCCCCATTTGCCTCAACTGGAAGCTCCACCGAAACTTGTCCACCATGCGTGACCCTTCTAGTATATGCAATCCTGGTAGCACACTGTCCAACATCACAATAAACAGCCGGTTAAGTCACCGCCATTAGGTCAACTTTATGTTTAAGGAGTCTGATTCTTGGAGAGTGACTCTGATTATATTGAGTCAAAGCCTTGAGCCAGAATTTAATGCATTAAATAATATAAATAAAATGAAAGAAAAGGCTCGGTTGTTCTCCTTTCTCTGTGCAGCACACCTTGTATTGCAATGTTGCTTTTTAAAAATATTTTACAACGTTGCTTTTTGTACAATAGAATTCATTACAATGACTTTGTTAAAATTTACTTGCAACCCAGATTCAGGCATGACCAAGATCAGGTATGACCAAGTCAGCCCCCGACCCACGTTGACCCATGTGAATCACGGTAGAACTGCACTCCATAGTGTTTTCAGTGGCAGATTTTTTAAAAAGTTGTTTGCCAGACCTTTCTTCCTAAGCACCTTAGGATGGCTCAGGCCTCCAACTTCCCAACCAGCAGCTGAGAGTTCTTTGCGTGCACTCTTCACAAGAGGAATTCTGATGACCCAAACCGTCTGTTCCTTTGAAGCTCCACAGTTCTTCCGCGTAGCCACTTGTTGTTGTTGTTCGATGTCATTGAGTTGGTTCCAACCTACAGTGACCCTGTGCACAGCGGAAGGAAACAGGCCCGTCCGGGGCCACCCCCATTGTTCTTAGGTTTGAGCACATCGCAGCCGCTGTGTCAGTTCATCTGGCTGAGGGCCTTGCTCTTTTTGGCTGGGCCTCCGCTTTACCAAGCATGCTGTCTGCTTCCGGGACTGGTCTCTCCTGACAGCACGTCCATGTCCAAAGGGTAGGAGACAAAGTCTTGTCAACCTTGCCTGTAAACGGAATTCTGACTTTCCTTCTTCCAAACCGACTTGTGTGTTCTGTTGGCAGCCTGTGTACTTTCCGTATTCTTGCCAGCACCACAATTCAACTGCATCTATTCTTCCTTATTCAGTGGTCTACTTTCACACGCATAGGCGGTGGTTAAAAATATCATGGCTTGGGTCAGGCACACTTTCGTCTTCAAAGTAATCTCCTTGCTTCTCAATACTTTCAACAAAGAGGGATTGAGCCAGTGTCGCTGGTATCCCTTTGTTGACATTTGGACACACTGGGGCAGAAGAGCCTCAGCACCTTTTCAGTCCCTGGTGAGTTAAAGAGTAGTGCCTGGCTCCAGAGCCTCCCCGCTTCCGGCCATTCCTCTTCGCTTCCAGGAGAATCAGAGGGATCTGGCATCTCACCTCCGGAGGTTCTGTGCAGAGCCCGTCAGAGACCCAGAAAAGGGAACCTGCAAGACGACGATGTGACAGCTTTCCTTGTACAAAGCGGCCACCTCTCTGAGCAGTTTCCAAATTTACACCCAACCCTAGCATGTTTTCAGCCTGCAGCTCGCAGCCATTAATTAGTTCTGGTGAGTTGAGTCATTGTTGTGTCCTTTAGCAGACGAGACAGGCAGCATGGAGAGACGGGGGTTTCCTAGGGTGGCAGTGAGTCCAGGAGAGCTGAGACCGGGCCCCTCCATCCCAGGCTTAGCCTAGGACAAGTAGACAGGGCTAAACAATGTGCCATTATCTTGGCTGCCTCCAGAACCGGCCCTCTCAAAAAGGCCCTTCACCTCTTTTAGGTTTTTGTAGGATGGTAAACAGCATAGTGCCAGATAAGCAAAAGGAAGGTCAGATTACAGATTTTATACTCAGGCAATTTATTGTTCACCAAGGATGCCAGATCATGGATCTGAGAGCATGTGAGTGGAGAATTAACATCTATTATCTAGTTATTTTTAAATTATACTGAAAAATCGCATGTGGAAAGGAACTGGCTTGAGAGGGTTGTCATGCATTAGTGGTGGTTCAGGATATTGCAAATGGCTACACCTTGGCTGCGTACCAAAAGATGGACCGCTTTGGAAACTGCTCGGCCTGGAGATGGACTTTTGGAAAATCAACTGCGCAAACCCCGTGCAGCGCAGTTCTGTTCCGATGCACCCGGCTCACCAGGGCAGGAATCAAAATCCCAGCAACTGGTTGGTGGGGGTGGGGCCTGAGGCTTAATCAACCAGAAATTTTTAAAATAGTTTTATTGGCACTTCATCCATAAATCATACAATTCAATAGTTCAACTCTTTCAAGAGGAGTCCTGCAATCTTTACTACAATCAATGTTAGAACATTTTCTTTACCTCCACACTCGTTATTCATGTAATTTTTTTCAATTTTGACAAAAATGTATACAACAAAACATTCACCAATTCAGCAACTTCTATGTGTGTAATTCAGTGCCATTGATTATCCTCTTCATGTTGTACCACCATTAATGTTATCCCTCTCCAAATTGTTCCACCACTAAACAAACACTCTTCCTCCTTCATCGGCCTCCTTACCCATGGTAAACATTGGTCAAGTTTGATTTTTTCCCCAGTAGTTATCTTGATATAATATTCACCTATCTTAAACTTCCATGGTTAAACCACTTCTACAAAGAGTTACCTCATCACAATCAGCGCTGTATTCTCTCCCACATTCACTGGTCGCTCCCCAATTCCCTACCCGTCCTTTCCCATCAACCATTGCACCAGTGATTGTCTCCATGCACCCGCTCCTTGTAGAGATCGCTATGTCTTTCTCTTGATCCTTTTAGTTCAAGAACTTGTCTTTGTGGAGTATATAAATAAGTGACTGCCTAAGATGAGCTGGCTTTTAAAGCCAGTGGTAGCAGGGGCAGGGGAGTGGGGTTGTTTGAGATGCTTTGAAATTACCGGAAAAGTCTTATTTCTGTACACTTGCATGGTGATGAAAAGAGCCTCAGGTGCCTCAAATACCAGTGGAGCCCAAGCCTCAGGGGAGAAGTGTTCTTTTTCCCCAAGCGACATTTTAACAAAACGTGACATACACTTCTAATGAGGCTTGGGGAATAACCAGTATGCAAGCAAACAGAGTGAAAGCCACCCTTAATATTTAGGTGGGCGTCTCTGCGCATTTCCCGTGTGCATGTGAGGTTGGTTATATCTGGTGATGACTCTGTTGACGCCACTCACAAATGGATTTGGAGCCAGGTGTTGATAAAATAGATCCAGAGTCAAATGATGATGAGACCCTGCTCATGACACACGTCAGCCTCAGAGAGATGCATTTTCTGCTTTGAAGACTCAAACAAAACTTTTTACATTCTTCTTTGGAGAAGCGGGAAGAAATTCCATTTGAAGGCCTTTTTCACCCAAACACATTTTGAGATAAGAGCTCACAAATCTTGACATTATTTCATTTTGTTGTGCACATCTGTCAAGGAATTGAGATACGATACAGCTTCTCAAAACTGATGTTTGTGGAACAGAGAAATTTGACAGTATTTCATTTCCTTTATGTTCTGATTATACATTTATCAGAAAACCTGTATCTCTCTCAGTTCAGCTAAAAATTGGTAGAATTCAGGAACTTAAAGGCCGGGCAAAGAGCTATTCTATTATTTGGTATCATCTTGCATTTTTAGAGAAGTTGCCTGGTGGAGTCATTGTTAAAGCTTTTGCTTCACGGTTCATTATGATAGCCCACTATCCCCAGATCACATTTCTATAGGACCTATAACTGCTTTGCCGCAAAAATTAAATGCCGGGATATTTCATACATACACGCCGACATTTCAATGCTTGTCAATCACGGTTTATAAAATATAGGGATTACAACCTGATATTAACATCCAAATCCATTGTGCTCATTTTGTGTGTGAAAATGAGAAACCCTCGCTCAGGCACCAGATTCCCCAGCCTCTTTGCCGCCCTGTTTTTAATTTATCTCCAGGGTTTGAAGCCATAAAATGAGTCTCGCTTATCAATTGAATGTGGTGATAAGAAAACTGTCTGTGAAGCAGACTGCTCAGAACTCAAGTGAAGCTACAGGTTGAGGCATTCCGCGCCGTCCAGCTGAGCGTTGACGGGCCGCCTTCCTGCCCAGAGTCCATAGAGCCCCGTGTTTCTCATTGTGTCTCCACTCCTGATAGGTTTGCTCCCTTGAAGACGGGGACATGGAGGTGCATCACCTGGGAGGAGCCCTTTTAAGCATTTATTTTTTAAATCCTGGCCTCACTCTGTTTTATTTATTTTTTTAAACAGGTATACTTCCGAAAGAACTACCCAGCTATTACTCACAATGGCCCTGTGGCGGTGAACACTTCCAATGGACAGCCCTCAGCCTTCGCCATTTTTGAGACAGCACTGTGATCACACCAAGATGCCCTAATGGCATTCTCCAATCCTGTTTGAACTGTGTAGGCTGTGGATCTTGTTGTTGTTGTAAACTCTTGAGACAAATAGCTATGTGTACAAGGCATTCGTTTGTTTAGATTGTCTCCCAACTTCCCCCAGTGGTTTCAAACTCTTGCAAAATGATTTCTATTTTTATTTACATGTTACATATTATATTCCTATTTTCACTTTTTTAAAATCCCAATCACAGGTGCAGGCCACCCAGCAAAGCTGTTTTGTGCCTTAAGACTGCAGAGTCCCAGCTTGCTTGGTGGGGATAAGTCAGACAAAACCCCCCTAGAGTTTTCTTCTTTACAACCTCGCCCTTTCCAGATACACCGGGGATTCTGTTTACTTGAAGACTGTGTGAAGTTGCCATGTTGCCTCCCCGCTTTCCTTAACACGACTTGAAGTCCATTCTTTTTCCTGAGGACTTTTTATAAACATTGTATGGCTGAAGCGGATAGAACAAGAACAAAATAATAATAATGCACGTGTGTTCGTGTGAGATCAGAGGAGAGCGTACCTATTCCCTAAGAGAAGGGCATGGTCAAAACATGAAAGGACAGTGTTTTTAGTTCATGTTTTAACAGAACAAGAAGATAATGCTCTCTCAATGCAGGATCACTTACAGATAGATGATCTAGTCATCTGTCATGAGCCCCGAACATCTTTTAGATGGGCGTGACTCTGACATGGGAGCCATGTGGCAGTTTTATACTCAGAGTGGTGCGATTGGGGGACAGGGAGAGATGAAATACAGTGAAACCTTTAATTCCTGAGAAATGTGGTGGTTTCCTACTTGGATTTCTGGTTTACTGCGGAGTAACCCCCGTGGTCTGTAGGCTTTCTGGTTTAGTCATTGTAGGAATTACTCCTAAGTTTCATTCAAAGGCTCACCTGATGTGGTCAGATAACTGGAAATCATTGTGACGCTGGTGTGTAATGACACAGCCCACTCTCAGGATGGGTCCAGAGAGGTCACCTCTGGGAGTCTGCCCACCTATTTTGCTTCTGATTACTGATAGCCCTGTCCCCGGGTCCTTCTGATGAGTGAGTGGCTCAAAGCGAGTACTCCCCAGGGCTGCTCAAGGTTGTGTGAACTATGGGTTCTTTTGTTTTGCTTGGTGGCGGCGGCTCTGAGGTCTTGAGATGAAGCTTATAAAGGTTCTGTTGTCACAGTTTCAAGTGGACGCTCATGACTACTCAGAATAAGGTGTAACTGGCCTCAGATTGCAGATTAGCATATATAAACACAAGTTCACAGATGTCTGTATGCCTATATGCTTTCGCATGGCAGATTTTAGGACTTTTCAACAGAAAGAAAGATGTTTTATAGAATCAAGTCTCTTAAAAGCACACAGCAAGCTACCAAAATTCATTGAATGTAGTAGGGGTTGACTCTTTTTGTATTTAGAATCATTGCTGTTTTGTTCAGTAAGCCACACCAAGTAAGTTGTTTGTTAATAATTGGTAGTATTTCTGGAGACAGAAATGACAACAATGATGATAATAAAATTTGTTAAAACAGTAGATGTTGTTAAAATGTGTCTATGTTTATTGTGCCTTTGGAGTTTGAAGGCAGTTATATAACATGTTTCTATTTCTGTTACAACTTCATATAATTTTTTAATGAAGCAAAATTCAATAGAAATAAAAAGTTTGCATCTCCATTCCGAAAACTGTATGCATTTTCTTCGATAGGTTAATAACTCATGTTTTTGCTGATGAAAACCAGTGAGTTTTCAAAAACTACAAGCTGTTTATATCTCATTATCAACTTTTTCTTGGCTAATTAGATGTCCCAAATAGTCTAAGCAGGTACGTTCCAGACAGAGCTAAACATTTGCTATTAAAAGTAGCGCAGTTACATTCCTTCCAGAAAGGGGAGTGTTAGCGAAGGCTTCAACAAACTGGAGTTTCGTTTGTTTTTAAATGTGACTTTATCTTACGTGAACATGAAAATCTCTATTGCTGCCACGTTTGCAATATCCTCGAGCCAGCCGTGACCCCAGGACCAGCTGCAGCCCTTTCACCTGGGAACCAGTTAGAACCACAAAATCGGAGGCTTCTCCCCAGATCCACTGAGCAGAAACTCCTCTGCAATCCATGTTTTAACCAGAATACCATGTTTTAACCAGAATACCACGAACAGTGGCTTTCCACACACATTGATTTTTCTCACACCTTTCCAAAACCAAACCCACTGCCATCAGGTTGATTCTGGCTCATAATTGGAAGAGGTACAAGGGGAGCGTTGGAATGCTCTGTTGCTTTCCTGGGCGATGGTTTGTATCAGTAGTTATTAGAGTCTCCATTTGTCTCGTGCACTTTTGTAAGTAATATTTCACAATTGAGCACCTAATACTGCTAGCATACTTGAAATGTGATTGTTGGCCTCATCATTGGCGCCTTTCGAATCTGGAAGTAATTTCATTTGTACACACATTCAGTGCATCCGTCTTCTCAAAGCCCCCTGCTTCTGGAAAGTAATTTCCGAAGTCTGTCTTCTTATTTCCTAAGAGGCTATTTGAAGATTATCTCGTGGCCCACAACAGAAATTATAGCCTCACTTCAAACTCTTGGTCTGGAGAGGTTAAAAGTATTCCCTCTATCCAATTAATAAAGCGAGGGCACGTCTCTAATTCCATGAACAAATATAAAAAGAAGGAACACGGGAGTTTGCTTCCTGGATGCTACATGTTTTCTCTAGCACCGTAAGTGGCATATGAACGTGTAGAGAAACAACTTCAGTTTATGAAGGAAGCGAGTTCTTGATAGTTTACTCCGTATTGTGACAACGTGGAGAGTTAACTTATCAGCGGATGAACTTGCCTCTGTACAAACCAATTCAAGCCGGTGTTTCCTTGGCAGAGGGTTTGTCTGTACAGTCTTAGAAGCCCCTCTTCTCAAGCGTGATGATTGTGTGAATGTCTAATTCACAAAGGCTTCATAGCATGTCCTGGAGTATTGAACTTAGCTCCTGTGGTAGTTACAGTTTCATGTTAATAAGAGAACGAATGGGGCGGAGTTTGGCCTGTCAGTCAGGTCACAGCCTAAGGATGCCTCCTGGTGGGTGACCTTCTCATGAGGATTCTGGGAACTTCCTCTCTCTCTGCTTCACCGTCCTGCTGAGGAAACACTGAGCTAGAGGAGCCATGTGGAGATGATTTTCCCACCATGGGATCCACAAGACTTTCCACCCACTGGCCTGCGATCTTCCTGTATTTGGCATCATTCCATGTGCTATGTGAGTCTGAGGAATTTATGGATTTATATCAGGCATATGGGCTAATATTAGACTTAAGGACTTCATCTGGGCTGGACTGCGCTGGTTTCTCAATACAGTGAACCCTCGTTTATCGCGGTTAATCGGTTCTAGACCCTACCGTGATGAATGAAATTCCACGAAGTAGGATTCCTTATTTGTAAATCAAATATTTTCGTAGTCAGAGCATAGAGGACATGAAAAAACACCCTTTAGTCACCATTACACTCGTATTACCCAATTTATTAAACGAAAAAGGGAAAATGCAGTAAAACATTTTGGACGTTACAATTATCATTTATTATTTATTATATTATCAAGTACAACGGATGGAGCGAACGGAAGACTCATTCAAGTCGAAATGGTGTGCAATCTCCACGATTTTCTTGCCATCTTTGATCATATCCAAAAGTTTTACCTTTTCTTGGATGGTGAGCATCTTCCTCTGGTGCTTATTTTTATTGTCAGAAGGCTTAGAAGAAGCAGCTTGTTTAGGAGCCATCATAGGGCTTAGATAAAATTTCTTAAAAATCGCAAACAATTACAGTACACTGTACAAAAGGAAAAATGCATCTGATACGTAGCTCCGATACGTAGCAATGCAGACAGAAGCGTGTACAGTATGAGCCAATCAGTGGCAGTAATGACAGAGCATGCGCTGTTACGCAAAAACCGCGATAGAGTGAAGCCGCGGAAGTCGAAGCGCGAAGTGGCGAGGGTTCACTGTATACAATTGCTCTTTGATACAAACCTCTCTCGCACACACACGAGTGTCTCTGGATGTGTTTCTCTAGTCAACCTGGCCTAACACAGCTCCTGAATATGTAAGTTGAGACTTGCCACAGTTCTTAGGAAAGTTCTTTTATGATAGACTTTTTCCCTAGAAAACAACATGAAGCTCTAGAGGGCACACTTCGAGAACAGATTTCTTGTCAATCTGTTCATGTGTTCCAGGGAATCCAGGGACTTCAATCTGACTCAAAGAAGAGAAAAATCTAACCTGGAGTGAATAAAACAGAAAACGTTGTTATAAAACAAAAATATCCTAGATATGTCTGTGGTCAGCCCAGCATGAGTTATCAAATGTTCTAATTCCCAAAAGCTCATTCATTGAAAATTAAAGTAGGTGTGTGTCAATCAAAGGACATTGTATTCTAGTCTATAAATAATACTATAGACACAAAGATGGAACATTAGAAATGGATTTTTCAGGAATGGCAAATGTTGGGGATTCGTTTCCACAAAATACTTTGGCATGTATCACAAAGTCGTATCACCAAGCCGAAGCACACTGCCACCGAGTTGATTCCAACTCAGCAAAAGCCAAACCTATTGGCTGCTAATCCTCCCAAAGCTTGACAGGAGCAAATGGCCTCCTCTTTCCTGTGGGGAGGTAAGCAGCTGGTGGGTTGGAACTGCTGACCTGCCTGTCAGCAGCCTAACAAGGACACTACCAGGACTCCTTAAGGGCAGATAGGTCCTTGTGAGAGGATGCCAGTTAGAGGTTTTCTTTCACAGGAGAACATTTTCATTGCTTGGCTCCACCATTTTCTATTCTGCTTTGGAACTCAGAAGGGGACAACAAATCATTTTGAAATCTAAATCCTCCCCAAGCGCTGGACACTTTTTTTTTTCAGTAGGATTGCAGCCCAGATTTGCCAGATTGCAGACTCTGGGATGGAATTCACTGTTCAGAGTGTTTATCAAGGGTTGACTTTGGGATTCATACCTGTGAAATCAAGGAGGCAGATTGAGTAGAGAGCGAAATTGAGCTGCCCTGCCTGTGTAGAGCATTGTCCTGGCCCTCCTTGTGGAGGATTTAGACCGAGCTGGTCAGTCAGAGTTGTGCTGTGCTAGGCTGAGCACCAGGCCCTCTGTCCATCCATCCTGAGCAGTAATGGCATATTGTTGGCCACCTCTGGACATGCCTACAGAGAGAGGTCCCTGGAAGATACACAAGGGAAGACTCTTCATGATCGTCATTTAAGTCAGAATAATGGACTGACTGTTTTCAACTCATGACAGGAAAAGGAAATGGAGAAAGTGCATGCAGAGAAGATGCCCTACTCATCATCCTTCTCTGAGGGTCAGCCCAGTACTTACCCGGTTCTCGTATGTCCCCTCGAGATCACTTTTCAAATGAGGCAGTTTTATGTATTTTTATAATGCCTGAGCCGATCATTTACTAAACCGTCCTAAATAGAACTGGCTTCCTGTAAATTGTAGTAGGGCCGCACTTCGTTTCCTGTTCTGTTAATGCCATCTTGAAATTCCCCAGGACTTCTTGAACAAAGGACCCGACATCTCCATCTGGCACTGGGCCTTGGCAACCAGATTGCCCGTCTTGACCGTGGCAATGTGAAACTCAAACTCCGCGCCATCACATCGATGCCAGCTCAGTGACCGTGAGGACAGGGTAGGACAGCCCCCTGGGGCTTTTACGACGAACTCTTTACCGGAGTAGAAAGTCCCGCCTTTCTACCACAGAGTGGCTAGCGGTTTCGAAATGCTGACCTTGCAGTCGGCAGCCTAATGCATAAGCACCATGCCACCAGCAATCCTTTGACAATACAAGGAAGCTTCCAAAAAGTCATGGAAAACTTCCATGATCTCTTGCATTTTTCCATGAACTTTTTGAAGCCCCCTCAATAAGTATTAGTGTAGGAGTTTGTTTCCTCACTGACCTATGAACTTCCGGAGACTCCTTTTTGACTCAGCATCTGGAGCACGGTGTGTGTCACATGCCCATTGTTGATGAGTCAATTCCGACTCATAGCAACCCCAGCGGACACAATGGACCTGTACCACTGGGCGCCAGAGACTGTAAATCTTTACAGAACCAGCCTGCCACATCTTTCCTCATTCAGAGCAAGGAGTACGTTCAAACTGCCCACCTTCCAGTTAGCAACTGAGCACTTAACCAAGTGTCACCAGGTCTCCTATCTGCCAAATCCCCCAAACCACAGCAAACTCACTGTGTCGATGCCAACTGATAGCGACGCTGTAGGACAGGAGAGCGCTGTCCTGGCCAGTCTGAGCCGTACCTGTTTCCAGGGGGAGTCTCTTTCCATTGGAGAGGCTGGTGTTTTTGAGCTGCTGGGCTCGTGGATTGGAACCCAGTGCATAACCACTAGGCCACCAGGGTTCCCTGGCTGCCAAATAGCACTCAATACATGTTATGGCTAAGCATAAACCTTACTTCCAAAATTTCTAATTTTGAAGATTTAAGGGGCAGCTTAGAACAGAAAAAGCCTTATTTGAGAGTCAGTCACAAATCTCATGTCAACTCTGGCTCTGCCACTCAAGCAACATAGGGTTGGCCCAAGAGCTTGCTGCCTCACCTGTGACATTTGAGAGTAAAAAGCAAACAGCAGCCAGCCAATATTCCAGGACGATAAACTAGGGCCATCCTGG